ACAAAACACAGTGCTGAACACACAATGCAGCGCTGAGGATACAGACTTGGCTGCTGTTTATGGAGTAGGGAATACAGTGGCAGATTTATTCTACAGTAGAGAGGGTTGTTTCTTGGTAGGGCTAATACTGACACATTATCTGGAGACGGAAGAGGATGCACAAATAGGAACAATTCTCCCATTTCTCTGCCTGTGTCTCCTCCAAGTGCCCCCTACTCCTATTCCCGTCTGCTCTCTTTATCCCTCTCCCAGCACTGAGTCCCCTCCTTCCTCTCCTCTGATTTATTCTTTCTTTAGCCTTCTCCTTCATCTTTTCCCAATGTGATTATGTGTACAGAGTTTTTAGTTCTCCAAGCTTCTGCATATTATCTCTAGCTGGAGACTTGCGCCCAGCCCTCTGCCTGGAAAACCATACCAGGGTTTTCAAACACAGGGTTCAATTCTGCTCTCTCTAAAAGAGGTGTAAAAGTTTACACTTTGTGAGGACAAGGCCATGGGACTGGATAGGCTGATAACAACCTGCAAGGAGAGACTTTTAAAATTATCCAGCACAGCTTAAAGAGGAGGCTTAACAAATCACCATCATGGCAGGTCTTTGAAGTGGAAAGTAGTGATGGCAACTACCACCTCACTCCTGCACAGAATAATTTCATCTGCCTTCTCAACTGGCAACCGCTGAAATCAGTATAGAGCAAACACCTGGATAGTTTTACATCCCTATTTCTCCCCCTTCTTCTCTCCAGAACACACACCTTTCATTCACACCTTACTGTACTTGCCGTGAGGAATCAAAGCCTTGTTTATACCTCACATGAGAACTGAGGCTGGGAGCTGAGGATGAACAGCTTAGTCAAGAGCACATAAGAGATCCGTGGCAGAGCAAGAAATACAACCTGAGTGTCCCAAATTGGCTGCCAAACAGTCGCCCACTCATGCTTCATGTCTCCAAGTGATGGACAGGGGTAGTGGATCTTGTCCAAGGACAGATAAGACAGGAGATAGTGCTATCACCTGCATCTCTTCTTTTTGGCAGGAGGAGAAAAGCAGCAGAGGAGAGGGGCTGCTGTCTTTCCCCCTCCCTAATCTGCTTCCTGCTTGCTTCGAAAACAACCCAGTGCACGGTTGTTTATTATTATTATCACTGTTATTTTCCAGAGTGCTGTAAAACCAGGGGATGGAGCACTCTGACAGCCTCATAACAAACAGCAGATAAAACTAATTAGATTTTGTTCTTCCTTTAGTTTGCTGACTTGATTCTTTTTATTTTTATTGTTTAATTATTTATTTTTAGCCCAGAGGTTTACACACGTTATGTATTTCACTAGACACTTGCGAGGCATCCTTAGGATCGTCTCTGATAGGAAAGGGCTATTGTGGCCAGGCAGGCCTGAGAGCCAGCGAGCGGCTGAGACAGAGGGTGCAGTGTGAGCGCTGCTCTGCGATACATCTTCTACCCATGTCATGTAAACCATGGCGGGGGGAGGAAGGAGAGTGGAGCTATTCACAGCCGCTAAGAGAGTCAGTGAGACAAAAAGCATCAGTAAAAAAAGTTAATGCGCCTGGCAGGAGCCCAAAACTGCTTTAGCAGTGGGGACTATACAAGTGCCTCTAGGACACCGTCTCTTCTGGCCATTATGGAAATATTTGGCTTTCGTCTCAACCTGACAGCCTTGCTGACTCTTGAGGAATTGCAACGGTGGGGAGCAGGGCAACTTCCCTCTCCTCCCTCCCTTTCTCCATCGGCTGTTTCCAAATTCTTTGGGATTAGCTAGGGACAGCAAGAAAAGGCACTGGCCTCGCTGCTCAGCACTTAGCAGGCTGAAGTGAGGTGACGTGCCTCAGAGCAGGGGACAACGGCTCCATTCACTGGGGAAATACCAAACCAGAATTACAAGCGTGCAAGAATAAACAAGGCTGGAGTTAATCTAAAGTTGTTTTACACTCTGTTTTATTAAAGTCAATGCACTTCCGTTCCTCTGTGCAGAGCCTAGTTCTGCTTAATTACCATGACTCAGGGAGAATGTTAATGGCATGGAGGGAGCGGTGCACAGCGGAGGCCCTCTCCTGACCTCTAGAGGTCTGTCAAAGGAAGAAGATCATCTGCTCCCCGTAGAACTTCCTGCAAGAAACGAGGAAACCTCCAAAACTGCTTCTGCTGGAGGTTTCCAAGTGCCATTCCCGACTGGTTGGCCACCCAACCCTCCCGCTGCACTTCCTCTGCTCCCACCTTCTCAGCAGCAAGCTGAGCACCGTTGGGCTGCGGGGGGGATTGGCTTGGCCATTGCCTTCTGCAGCGTCCTCACCACTTGCTGACAGGTTGTTTGGCACAAATGTGGGACGCTGCAAGGAGAAGACTTGGCCAGGGTTTTCATGCTGCACAGCAGCGTTTATGCAGGTGTGGTTGATGTGCATGGATACTTTGCTCCCGGCTCGGCTGCTGCGCTTGGATCCCAGACACTGAAAACATCCTAAGGGCCTTTGTCATCTCTCTGCTTCTTGCAGCTCCTAGCACAGGGATCTGTGATACAGTGGTGATGCTCATATACTTCTGGCTCCAAACACGCATGGAAGCTACATCTCTGCTTTTATTACATTCGGACAACTGTCCCGCAGTCTATTGATTCAATGAATCAAAACTAGGGCAGAGTTTTCCCACTGAACTTAATTCTTCCTAGCTTAAGGAATTCAGAATAAATTGGCTAGAAAACTGAGACTGGCCTCTAGTACTTAGAGCCAAAATGTTGGTCTCATTAAGAAAAATGCTGATTTGAGATGATTTCTTTTCCTTCTTCACAATGAGGTGTACTATTGTCAAGCCTCGGGAAGCATCATGCCATTATCGTGGCAGGCCATTGGTACAGAGCGCAGCGTGGGAGAGGAAAGCAGCTCTGGATGTAGACATGCATGTCTACAGACACATATATATATATACAATGGTGTTTTGCCCTGTGTCCTGAGGGTGTGCTGAATGCTGAAGATTTTACAGCATGGGCTGTGTGTGCTGCAGTCTGGACCTAGTACAGTGTGAGTATTTTGTCTTGCATACGATGTTGGATTTTGAAGTTAACTATGCACATATATTGTTGTTTATTAATAAGCTTTGAAGCAACGTTATACAAACTATTATAATGGGAATGCCTGTTTTACCTCCTTTGTGTCCATTCCTGTGAGCTAACCTTTTATGAAAATCCAGTATGGTGTGCAACAAGCTGTACACTAATGAATGAGTTTGGTCTAAGAAGCTCAGCTTGTAAGGACTCAAGCTGCCTCTCTTTTGAACAGCATCATAAAGTGAGAGCTAGAGACACAGACAGAACTCTTACGTGCTGGTGAAGACTTTAAAACACCTGGATACTGAAAACCCAACAGGACAGAGAGAAGCTATTTCTCCAAAGAGCAAGCTCCTGCTGGAAAATATGTCTAGATAGTCTGAAGAAAGGTTTTCAGAAATGCATCAGAGAAAACCTCATTGTGCACCAGGAATTCTCTCCACAAAGATGAGAAGACGACATGGTGCTTTTAGTCATGCATCATTATTAATAATAATAATCACTGGTAACGGAGGCCTTATAGGCTGTAATGCTACAGCACACTATACATTAATCCTTCTCCTTGAGCCTCATAAAGTAACAGAGTTGGGATCCTCTTCATCGTGCAGTTAATTCCATTTGGGTTCAAGGTAATTCTCCAGTTGCAGCAGCAAGTTCAGCCCACATGAGGTGTGAGATGCAGTGATGTGGGCTTCGTGCTTTAGGGGCGTCAGGCATGTGCATGAGTTCTCAGTCTGTGTTGGCTTCTCCAGAATTGAAATCTGTGTTTGCAGGCAATTTTAGGAGAAATCTCATTTTTTCTTTCATTTGGGGATCAAAGGAGCTGTTCTGTCTCTGTTATGGGAGTCACTGGTAGAACATGTCCTGTATATAACCCACCAGTAATGTATTTTACTATATTACTTTGTGGCACAATGGGGTCCTGTTCCATGAACTAGGATTCCTTAGTTGTATTATAAGAGAACTAACAAAGAATAATCAGTCACTGGACTGATGCTTGGGCTAAATTCACTCTTAGATATTGCTACCATCACCAATCTATTGACAGAATATTGGGGGATCCCTGGCTACCACAAGAGAACACATTTTTCTCCTTAAAATGCCCCACATCCCTCTCATTCCCAATAGCTTTAAATAGTAGCTCTAGTTCCCCAGGATGAGCTGTTGTATCTGTACTTTTAGCTGGAAGGATGTCTCACAGTAGAAATATAATTTCACAGCATCTGTGAAACAAATTCTACACTTGGGCTCATTAGTTCAAGCATGAAGTGACTCAACTGAGATTACGCTGGACTGGTTCATTCCAGTGCTGCAAACAGACGGATTTAGGCTAGGTTTCCAGAGGACCACTCTGCATTGTCACTGGTGCTTTCCTTACTATGGCACATTGGATTTCCCACACTGTTGCTGAGATATGACCAGCTCAGAAGCATGCACAGCCTGACTCAACCTGTTGTACACACTGTAAAAATTCCGATCAGACAGAAATCAGATACATGCTCTACAGCTCAAGAGAAACGAATAGCAATGGAGAACTCTGGCCAAAGGCATCCGTAACTGTCACTCTTCCAGGCAAAGGCTGCTTCCCATAATAAGAGTCTAAACTAGGAAAAAAGGAGAATCATGCCTGGTTCCTTGGTCTCAGAATACCATTCCTCAGGTCAGTCTGTACGAAACCACATACTAGAGGCAGCTGTGAAACAGGATTATGTTCAGGCAGGGATGACGTTCTCACATAGTACCATCTGGGCCAGCGGCCCCTCGCTCTGCCTTGTGTACAAAGCATAAGGAGTCATTCTCAATCTATGTATGTATACAAATTACACAAACATACAGACAATTTTCTATTCAGAACTGGAGCAACACATCTGGAAAAGATGCTGAAGCTGGCAAACAGGCAAAAATGAGCAGTAAAACATTTGCTTAGTGCTCTGCAAGTCAAAGCCTTGTTCACACAGGGCTGCTCTGGAACCCACTGTACACCCCAAGTGCTGCCGAATGCAGAGGGAGAGCTGTATTGTTGGATGATGGTTGGCTGGAAATGTAGAGCCCCCTGAGAGCCTTGGAGCTGCATGTTTGTCCCATGGTTGCTCCCTCATCTTCTGTCTCCCCTTCCACCCACGAGAGGTACTCCTGGATCTCTTGGTCTAGCTCCGAGAAGTCCTCTTCGCCATCAGAGCAACTGTCACTATTATAATCGATTTCCTCCACACAAGGAGATTCATCATCAGACTCCAGGCTGCTGTTGCTGCAGCTTCTGCAGAAAAATCACAAGAGAGACCAGATGTCATCAAAGGAGGGTGTGTTCTCTAGGGGTAAGAGCAAGTAACAGCAAAATGTGTTTCCTGGGTTCAATCCTGACTGTGCTAATAAGGCATGAGATGGCACTAAGCAAGATCCTGTACGTCTCTGTATCTGTTTCACCATCTGTAAAATGAAGAGTGATACTTACCTACCTCACAGGAGAAATTCATTATTATTGTTAGCACTATTATTGCTATTGCTTATACAGAAACAGAGTGCTTCATATACAGACAACGCCTTGAGGCACTTAGGAGGTTATAGAAGCTGAAATATAGTAGAGAAGGAGATATTCAGTTTCCAGGAGGTTGCTGGTTTAATCATCATCCAGCTTGCTGTAGTTCCACATTTAGTGTAAGACCTAATTAATCCAGGTGGTTGAAATGCTTTGGCAGCTTTTCCTCCTGTTCTGTGCAAGCTCAGAGCACTGCTAACAAGACACAGCACAAACAAAAAATGGGGGCTCTCAGGTCTTCAAGCATGCTGGCTCCAAGGAGGGCAGAAATACCAGGAATGGTTGTGTTTTGGAAGGAGCATGAAAAGGCTTTGACACCATGACTTTCCAAGGAAGGGCCAAATTCAGAGGCAAGTCTGGATGGCTGAGGAGAGGCTAAATGGATGTCACAGCCACATCATCAGGCTCTCAGAAGGGTATGTTATACCACCTTAACCTCCTGCCATTTACTTACAGGAATGGTCACAGGCTTTCTTTACATGTCCATTTTCAATAAGTATTGTATTAGGCTAGCCTAATGCAATATTTATGGCAGAACTGTAACCACTAGACTAAATGGCTGTGGAGGATAGGGTCTTTCTTCTACCTAGCTGCCTAGTTCCCATTTGGCCCTTAGCCCAAGAGGGCAGCTGGGTAATTTTTTGAGACCAGAAAGATGCCCGTGGTTTCAGTGCTGCCTGGGCCAGAGTCTGGATGAATCAGGTGGACAGATCCTGTGTTTTTCACCTCCAGGTCAATGTTTTCCATCAGAATCAAAGCAGGGGAATGTATTGCTTTGTGGGACTGGAAAAGGAATAAAAATCTTCAACCTCTGGCCCAGAGTTTCTAATTTGTCCCAAGTTGGGAAGAATGAATGGCTTGGCAGATGGAGCATACATAGCTTTAATGTGTGGTCTGCTCATTTACATGTCAGTAACTGGAATAATCTTCCAGCTCTCAGCTGTTTCACAGTAGTGCCAGCATCTGAGGTTTCAGAACATACCAAAGGTGTGAAGTGTTGCTTTTGGATGTATTGATCCATTCTCTCTTCTGAACTCAAAAAAAAAAAAAAAGGTGTAAGGTTTTCCTAGCTTTGAGACTCCAGTTCTTAATTGTATACAGACTACCCTGCAAGCAGAAACAAGCAGTGTCAACCCACTTCTCCTTTTCTGGCTGATCTCTGGCTTAGTTTACTTCAAAGGCTGGGTATAAAGGATTCTCTGAAAGCTTAACAGAGCTGTACAGCTTAAAAATAAATAAAAGAATAATTATGCACTTTTACAATTTCTGGCTCCACTTCAGTCTTCTCAGAAATCTGGGTCAGGAAGAACTCATACTGAAATTGAGTATACAACATGAAACAAAACAAACAAACCAGGACAATCCTCCCAGCACAAACAGCAACAAGCAGTGGTCTCTACTGAGTCTTACCAGTGGGTTTGATAGCTTCTTTTTTTTTTTCATGTGCAGGCATGGCATGAATTACCATGATACCAAGTACCTGTGATAATGTTCAAAGCTGACTAAGCTCAGGGGAACTACATTTTTCATTTATAAGCTCTGCCTTTGCGGCTTTGCAGTCAAAAAGAACTAAAGCATACCTACTTTCAATATTACACTTGTATGTTTGGGAGGAGCTGCTAATGCCATTGGGACAGAGTATAGCCGCCACGCAACTCGCTGATATTTTACAGACAGAAAGATTGTTTGCAACCTATGACCTGAAGGTCAAACATTTCCATTAACAGGATAACAATTTTTAAAGAAAGTTCCTATTATTACTTAAAGCTGGGAAACCCAATAACAGAGGACCGTCAGAATTTTTTGATAACTGAAATTATTTTAGGACTGGATTTCTGATAAAAAGGGGAAAATGACTCCTAGCCCAAAGGCAATTACTATGGAAGGGAAATCTGGAAGACAGTGAACAAAGAATGACACACAAAACTGCCATTTCCTTACACAGAAGACTAAAGGGACAGTCTTTATGTATAAACAGTATTGATACATACTGACAGTATTAATGCATAAAACCTTTGTAACAGACTTCTCCCTTGTTGCCTACACATATAGTACACAAACCACCAAGACTATGACAACTCCATACTTGGGCAGATACACCACAGGGAGAGATCCCCCACAAGTGAGGATGTGCCACCATGGTTAGAGGTCAGGAAAGAAGACTTTCTTCCTAGCTCGTGCTGCTCTTTGCTCCTTTGCCGTGATAGTGAATGAGCAAGACAATGAGCACTGACCTTAGTAGTGGTCTCTCCAATTTGGTCTGATGCCCACTGGATCAATGCCACCACCACAAATCACATAATGAGCTACCAAACAGCAAATAGATGGTACCAATGGTGATGCCAACACAGGCTGTAATCACACCGGTGACTTAAAAATTGAAAGCCTCTTTATCACACTACCAAACTCTACAAGCCAGCTATTATACTTCTCTCTACTATATGGAATTTTCCATCTCAATAATTCACTTTCTCCTGCAGAAAGATTTAAAACACATAGCAAAGCACAAAAGGGCTAGTTGAAACCAGCAGGTCAGAGGTTTTTCGGAAAGAGAAGAGGTGGCAGCACATGGCATGCAGGAGAGACAGTCCCAGTGAAGCTGCTAAAGTCATTTCACGCTGCTTCGCCGCATCACAAAGACCAGTTCCTTTAGGAAAGAATGCAAACGGTGAAACATGGTAATGAGCAGAAATACCAACATGTAGACTATTGCATAGCATTGCAGAGGGTGTGCCTTGCTTTCCTTCCCAACAAGGAGTTGTGGGGGTTTTTGTTAGAGGCTGGATCTTGGCATTTTTGTTTGTTTGCTTATTTTCTTAAACTGATTTTTAAAAGCTGCAAAAGAATTCCCTCCAAAAAAACTCAAAGGAAAAACAAAACAGGGAAGATGAAACAGATTTCCCAAAGAATAATGGTGTTGTCTTACAGTAGGTAAACAGTGAAGAAATCAAATGACATTACATTAGAGAACTCCAAGACAAATATAGTCTTTGAATAGACAGAAAAGGGGGGGGGGGGGGGGAGGCTGGTAATATATCTACAGCAAACAGTCCCCAACTATCACAGTAAAACATGTACACATGTTGGTTGATCTACTAATTCAAAACCTACGGCCTCATAGCCCTCATCTATTCCAGCTGATGGGAGCCACAACAGCAATTTGCAACTTTATGATGTGATAAATAGAATTTCTTTGGTTTGATTTTTAATTTGCATATTTATTGAGATATGACTTGATCTTAATTAGTTCTCCTTTTCTATGTGGGTGTGCGTGTTTGTTTGGTTTTGGAAAGCAAGCAAGCAAGCTTTGGTACACTGTAAAATAATTCTGGGTTTTTTGCTGACTTGATATGAGGAGGAGAAGGGAGCCCAGTCCTTCCTTACATGTCAGCGTAACTGGAGCCTTCTAGTATGGCTGGAAAACTCTTCTTCCAGGTGCTTCCTGCAAACTGCTCATTCTAAGTCAGCCTACCTGTTAGGTCACAGCTGGATAGAAAACCCTGCCAGTCAGCTGTCCTGCTGAACTGCACATAAAAACCGACAGTCTATAGTTGTGATTGATAAGCTATAGCTACATGCTGTATCTGAGGATATATGGTGATCTCTCTTCCATACAAAATTCTCCTTCACTTGTGCATACACTTCCAGGGCATGGGGGGTAGAGATTTCCTAAGTAATTTCTCGAGATTTTTCACTCACGTTTTGCTTGTGTGATAGGTCACTCATTCTCTGTGTATTCTCTTTTTTTTTTTTTTTTTTTTCTGCTGGAAAGAACAGGCACTGACAACTGTCCCTCTTAGGGAAACTGTGACTATTGTTCAGGGTAGCTGCTTGACCTTCACTTGACAGGTCTCACAGTTGCAGTGCGTTAGAGAAGGAAATCAAGCGTTTACTCTTTTTTTTTTTTTCTTTTCATATTGCTCCTCTCGCTCTTGTGAAAATTTGCTGCAGTCTGGCCAGAGCGAAACTGGAAGTGACTGGTTAAATGCTTCACACAAAAAAGAGGAAAAAGCTAAGTCTGGGGAACGCTGCTAGTCATGGACATACCAATGACTGCCTGTGAAGAATGTATCAACAAACAAGCAAATATGTCTTTACCTTCTCTCTACAGTGAAAAATAACATCCCAGTAGCTTCATAATGACCCTGTCTGTAACCCTATTTTCTCCATTCTTTAAATCTCCTCTCCATCATGACATGTCCCAATCCTTTGGAAGCTGCCCAAAGCAGGGGTATGGCTGTGTATAATGAGCCAAACACATCTCTGATATAGTTCATAGACTAAATAAAGCAGGAAATTATTTTCTTGAAATTTTTCAAGATATCAGACTTTACCCTGTGAGAAGAGAAAACAGATGAAACATTTATGTTCAACCTAAACAGACCAAGTTATCTGCAATTAAACATCATTCACCTGAAAGAAGGGTGTACTTTTTCTCTGCTTAAGCAGGGACTGGAGACCCCAGCAAGTTCCCTGACCACAGTTATCACCTGAGCAGAAGGGGAATCTTTCATTCTTTTCAAAGAAAGTTTTACCCGTTCCATGAACAGCTATATATGTCCTGGTAAGTAAAGCGTCCTGCAGCTTTTAAAAATACGTTTCCCTCTCTGCAGTGAATTGGGATTGACTTGCCCTTCTTTGGTTTTTTGACATTAAAATTCCACCTACGTCACAGAATCTAAAAGGGTGTGTGGTCTTGCACACTTTTGCTTTTGAGGAAT